ACCCACACACATTAGCTAACAACAGACGCACTTTCTCAATAATCACATTAATTCCCTCAATTTGCAACACTTCATCCACTAATTATCTCAACCCACATTGGTTAACCTATTAGTGTGGTATAATACTTCCTTCATATGCACCTGGGAAAATCGTTCCTCCAAGTCGGTCATTCTTTATTGCGACACCTCATTCAAGTAGGAAACATAACACGGAAGTTGCCTAAACAAAACAAAATTATATTGTGAACAATAAACCCAACATTTGATTTAATTTAATAATGTATTCATGTATAAATAAGTGATTTACATCACTTAATTATACATGGTAGGCTATAAAAACAAAATGTTTGTGTTACATTAAGCAAACCATGATTAACTTAATCAGCTGTTCCATACATCACACCTTTTTACACAAGTTTTCCACTCATAAGCACGACTTTTCTCATTTGCCCAGAACTTGTAATTACAATATTTCTGACTCTACGTGAGAGGCACATAAATCCAAACAAACCCCAGAGTATTGCCCAAAGCAGAAAAAAAATACAAAAGTACTAGGCATTTAAACTCGGCATAAAAAAGGGGGAAAAAAAGAAAAGAAACATCCCTGCTCAGGATAAAGTATTTTAAAGATAACTTTGTAAAATCCAAAGACCTTTCTGTTGACTCTGAAAAACACCTGAAGAAAGATATGTGTGACCAGAAGTGACCAGGATCCCTGATCACCTGCGTGAAGATGCCATAGTCCTGCTGCAGGGAGGCATGAGGACTGCAGATTTGGCCAGAGCAATAAACTGCAATGTCCATAATGTTAGATTCAGCTGAGATAAAAGCAGTTGAATGAGAGGACATTTCTTTTTTGCTGAGTTTATAGATAGATAGATAGATAGATAGATAGATGGATAGATATTAGGGCTGGGCAAGTTAAGGCATTATTATCGGGTTAACGCATTAATTAATTAACGCCTACAGACAAACCATGGGTCACAGGAGGGGTGGGATGTTGATCGGTACTGGCTTGGGATGGGTGTCATCACGCGTCTCAACCAATGAGAGCATTTGGGGTGGGCATAAGACTGTAGCAGTGCTCACATCATGAATAAAATTATTTCGGCTAAGCATCAACATTCACAAACCACTGTCCACTGTTATTTTTAACAGAAAAGAATGCAACATGCTGGTAATCACTACTTCATAAGTGGGAAATAGGACGTTTCCGATAGCAGTGAAGACAGCAGAGAAGCGCTCTCGCTCAGCACAGTGGAGTGCCGTTTTGTTAACTTTCTGGGTTTTTTATTATTTTGAGTCGTTTGGGACGCAGTAACACACGGCCCTCTCACAATATATTGCTTTACAGATCTATCACTCTTGCCACTCAGAAATGTACACGCAATCATGCTGCACGTATCAGAAGTTCTGCGCTCCGGCGCGGTTAGTGCTCACACTCACTGATCTATGTATATACCCATACATAGAGCCCACCTCTTCCAACCAAGCCAGGGATGGCTAAACGAACCGCGCCTGAGCGTGGCACGGAGCGATCACACTAATCAAACGAACCGGGCTTTGGGGGTCAAACGCGCTCGGGCACGTTTAAGATTGCCTAGTGTGAGTACACCATTATTCTCCCGCATCCCGCACACACAAGTCTCTACCTGCCCAAAAAGTGTTGTCCCGCGCCACACTCTGCGTTGGGTCCCGTGATAGTGCAGGTCTCTACTCGGAATGTGCCTGTTATAATGTTATGTTCGAGGCTCTGGACTCTGAGCATAACTTGTTTTTCTATAACAAACTATAAAAAAATTTCTATAAAAACATTAATGCCCTGACAGTGGCAAATAGCTTTGGTTTTATATTTAATTTGATTACATTCATGTTATAAATTGAGATTTACAAGAAATATTTTAACTGCTACCATGTAAAGGAATACTGCTGTAAAAAAAAAGCACCTTATTTGTTTAAAGTGTTTGCAAACCAAATGTTATTGCACTTTTGTTCATATAGCAATACTTTTAAATGAAAAAGTGCACAATACACTACTTTTGTATTCATTATTGAATTTTCATTAATGCCCTGACAGTGGCAAATAGCTTTGGTTTTATATTTAATTTGATTACATTCATGTTATAAATTGAGATTTACAAGAAATATTTTAACTGCTACCATGTAAAGGAATACTGCTGTAAAAAAAAGCACCTTATTTGTTTAAAGTGTTTGCAAACCAAATGTTATTGCACTTTTGTTCATATAGCAATACATTTAAATGAAAGAAGTGCACAATACACTACTTTTGAATACATTATTGAATTTTGTGAATAACAATGCGATTAATCGCATACAATCATGTGATTAATCGCGATTTAAAAATGTACTGGTTGCCCAGCACTAATATATATATATATAAATAAAAATAAATAAATAAATATGTATTAATATACAATTAATCCAGAACGCGGCATCAAGATTAATTTTTAATTAGCCAAAAAGAATGCACGTCACACCTCTGTTTATCAATTTGCACTGGCTACCAATAGCTGCTCACATAAAATTCAAGGCATTGATGTTTGCCTACAAAACCACCACTGGCTCTGCACCCCTTTACCTAAATTCATTACTTCAGACTTATGTGCCCTCTAGAAGCTTGCTTTCTGCAACTGAACGTCGCTTTATTGTGCCATCTAAAGAAGCACAAAAGCACTTTTACAGACTTTTAAATTAAATGTTCCCTCCTTGTGGAATGACCTGCCCAACTCAATCCGAGCAGCTGAGTCCTTAGCCATCTTCAAGAATCGGCTAAAAACATAAAAAATCTCTTCCATCTTTATTTGATTTGATTTGTTCCCTCTAACTCTAGCACTCTCTATTGTAATTATATTCTTAAAAAAAAAACACTTGTCCCTTTTAGACTTGCACTCTATTAATTTGCTGCTTGTTTTCTTTTTTAAAAATCTTTAAAACTATCTGTTTTCTTTTCATTTATTATATTATTTAAAAAAAAAACTTGCTACGTGTACTGCGTTAAGCTAACTGAGACTTGTTATAGCACTTG